TTTGGGAAAAAAGATTTAAGAGACTTTGGCTTGCATTTGGGTTAAGACATGTGGTAGGATTTTGGCTTGTGGTAGGGTTAAGGCTTGAGGTAGGGTTATGGCTTGTGTTTGGATTTTGGCTTGATGTAGGGTTTTCATGGGATTGAGAGGGTAAACCAAGAATTTCTGCAACTGGTCTTTTTCTAGCTGGGATACCTCTCGGCTTCCTCTTTCTTTTGGAATTTAGATCACTAATCACTTCATGATCTTTAAACAAGATTCTATTACTCCCAAAAGGCTTCTTTGACCTCATAGTCAACCCTTTTCTTTTGATAATCTCACCAATGAGCAAACCGAACCCTAATATACGGTTGAACTTCCCATTCCTTATTTTTGCACCTTTCACAAAGTGTGCAATTCGGCTCAAGACAAGCTTACTCCAATCACCCCTAACAACATTCATGATAGCATGTACATAACCAATTCTTACGGGTGAAATATCTTCCATGCTATTTAATTTGCACAACACACATTTGTAGAGAATTTTAACAAGCATTTCATACTCCAACTTCAACTCAGATTTTTGACCAGAAAGATTTGGTTCGAGAGAGGCATTCTCATTCCGAATTTCTGTCCAAATTTCCGTATGATCATATAAATGAACATCTAAGTCCAACAGTGGTTGTTCTGGACTAGATATGGGCAGTCCAAAGGTTGTGTGTAACTCGTGTTCATCAATGGTGATGAGAGTTCCATTCACGGTGGACTCAATGGTCCATCCAACAACCTTGGCATTCATATAAAACTCTGCTACATCTTCATCATAAAATCTAGAATATGAGTAAGAATATAACCTCATTAGATTGCTTTGTTGAAGTGCATTGATGATTCTTTGTGCAAGATGAGAGTTCTCGGCTTCTTTCAGGAATCCTTGAGGGTCAAAACTTCCTCCGGCCTTAATTCCCACTGCTAGCTTTGTGAGGTTGAGTTGTGTGGTGTGTTCTTCATTCGGTTGTGAGCTTGTATCTCCAATGGTGGCCATAGTGCGATTGATATTTTTAGGAGATTTGAGGGATTGAGAATTTTTTTTTTTGGAAGAAGAGGTTTGTATTTCGGCTATGGAAGATGAAAGGCTTTTGAAAATTTGAGTGTGATGGTGGCTTCTCCAACCGATTGGGTAGAAAAGAGGTGTCTTTACACAAATATCCTCACAATTAAATGTTGACTTTTAATAAGTGAGGGGTATTTTTGATATTCCAATAGCTTCCAACCTTGGACCTAACTGATAGTTAGTTTAGGTTATATATTCTCCATCCAATTTGTCTGCTGATGTGGCGCCAAAAATTTAGATACTCGGACTGATTTTACCTGAAATAAAATTCAAAGAGCACTAAATCTGTTCGAAAATAATATGTATGTATCTACACGTTTTTATGTAGATGGAAGAAAGAGAAATCTATTCTTTCTAGACTATTTATTGTGCACAACTACCATAAAAAAGGTGTTCTCATTTAAGACATTCTATCATCACACCATCTTATCACTCTTAAATGGTAAGATTTGGCATATCTAAATGATTTCTACTTGTATATATGTATATAGATATACGGTTAGAAAGATATATAAGCACTATGTGCTTTAACACCATTTAATAGATATAGGTGGACTTTAAAAAGATGTGACATTTTTTGCATGTGTGACACATAGGCACGAAAATTTAAATCAGATAAAGTGTCGAAATATCAAATGAAAAATTGAGCTTATAATTAGAATAGAGTTTAGAAACTTAGCTTAATTCAATCATGCCCATCTCGTGTCTCAATTTCGAAAATCTTGATTCACACAGAGGCTTTGTGAGAATATCAGCTAATTGATTCTCGGTCAGGATATATTCGATTGATAATTCCTTCTTTTCAACATGATCCCGGATAAAATGATGTCTCACATCAATGTGTTTTGTTCTTGAATGTAACACGGGATTATGTGTTATGGCAATAGCACTTGTATTGTCACACAATATATTGACATTTTCACAATTCACGCCATAATCTTTCAGCTGTTGTTTCATCCAAAGAATTTGCGCACAACAACTTCCAGCAGCTATATATTCAGCTTCGGCTGTACTTGTAGCTATGGAGTTTTGCTTTTTGCTGAACCATGAAACCAACCTTCCCCCTAAGAACTGGCACGTTCCTGAGGTACTTTTGCGATCGATTTTACATCCTGCAAAATCTGCATCTGAGAAACCAGTTAGTGTAAAATTACCTTCTTTGGGATACCATAATCCCACATTGACTGTTCCTTTTAAGTATCGGATGATTTTCTTGGTAGCAAGAAGATGACTCTCTTTTGGCTTTGACTGGAACCTAGCACATACTCCCACTGAGTAAGATATATCTGGTTGACTTGCAGTGAGGTATAGTAATGATCCAATCATTCCTCGATATTTTGTTTCGTCAACATCCTTGCCTTCATCATCTTTATCTAATCGTAAAGATGTGCTCATCGGGATCTTGATTGAGGATTTTCCATCTTGACCAAATTTTCTTATCAGATCTTTTGTGTACTTGGCCTGATTGATGAATATTCCTTCGCTGAGTTGCTTTACTTGCAGTCCAAGAAAGTAATTCAATTTTCCCATCATGCTCATCTCAAACTTATTCTGCATGAGCTTAGAAAATTTCTCACAAAGAATTTTATTAGTACTTCCAAAGATAATATCATCAACATAAATTTGTACCAATAAAATGTGATCATTTTCTTGAATTCTAAATAAGGTTTTATCAACAAGGCCTTTTGTGAAACCACAGTTAATTAGGAACGTTGATAGGGTGTCATACCAAGCTCTCGGTGCTTGTTTTAACCCATATAACGCCTTCTTTAATATGTAGACCTTATTAATATCACCTTTTACCTCGAAACCGGGAGGTTGCTCAATGTAGACTTCCTCTTCAAGTAATCCGTTTAAAAATGCACTTTTCACGTCCATTTGATAGACAGTGAAATTCTTGTATGCGGCATAAGCTAGAAATATTCTGATGGCTTCTAGTCTTGCAACGGGTGCAAACGTTTCATCGAAATCTATGCCTTCTTCTTGTGAATATCCTTTTGCCACTAAACGTGCTTTATTTCGAATGACGATTCCATCCTCATTAGCTTTATTCCGAAAGACCCATTTTGTTCCAATTACATTGTAATTTTCAGGTCTTGGAACTAATTCCCATACGTCATTTCTCTTAAACTGTTCAAGCTCTTCTTGCATTGCGTTGATCCAATCTTGATCACTTAGTGCTTCTTCAATGCTTGTGGGCTCCACCTGAGAAAGAAAACAAGAGAATAAAGAATTTATACTTGAGGACCTTGTTTTTACTCCTTCTCGTGGATCTCCAATCACTAGCTCTGGAGGGTGATTTTTGAGCCATCTCAAGTCGGGTTGTAGGTTGCATGGGCTTTCCACGTTTCCTTGTTCAGTAGGTAAATTGGAGGTAGACACATTTTGCTCATCAGATTGATCTCCAATTTGTGTATTGACTTGAGAGTTTTGATTTTCCACGTGTGCATCTTCATTGGCTTCCACGTGTCCTTCACTATTGCAATCAATGTCCAATTGCTCCATACCCTGTACAATTTGATCTTTAAAAGATATGTCAGCATCCTTAAATGATTTTTTCAACTTGACAAATCTCCTGATCATTTTTGTTGCTTTGGGTTTCCTTCATATGAGCTTCATCAAATGTGACATGAATTGATTCTTCTACTACCATTGATTTCTTGTTCAATACTCTGAATGCTTTACTGGTAGATGAATATCCCAAAAATATTCCTTCATCTGCACGCTCATCAAAAGTCTTTAGATATGTTTTTCCATTATTAAGAATAAAACATTTGATACCAAAAGTATGGAAATAGTTGAGTTTTGCAATTTTCAAGTCTTTCTCATTTTGTAGTAGCTTCAGTAGCTTTGGCAACTTTTGCTCCACTTCATTTTTCTTTTTGAGAAATATTGTCCATGTGTACCTGGAAAAGTCATCAACAACAACTAGTGTATATTTCTTACCACTTAGACTTGCTGGGTCTACTGGACCAAATAGATCCATGTGTAGTAGACTTAGCGGTCTTGTTGTAGATTCTTGAGCTTTGGATTTGAAAGATGACTTGACTTGCTTTCCTCTTTGGCAAGCATCACATATTAGATTTTTCTTGTAGACAATGTCGGGTAGACCTTCAACTAATTTGTTTCTTGCTAGCTTGTTGATAGTCTTGAAGTTTAGATGATTCAACTTCTTGTGCCATTCCCAACTTGTTGCGTGTGAGTTGTTTGCTAGTAGACACACTGATTCTTTTGTTGTGTTCCAATCCACAATGTACATATTTTTCTTTCTTATTCCTTCGAGAACAACTTCTCCTGTGGAATTATTTTTCACTTGGCACTTCTCTTTGAAAAATCTACTAGATATCCTTTGTCACAAAATTGACTTGTACTTAACAAGTTGAATTTTAGACCTTCAACAAAGGATACATCTTCGATTTTCAAACCATTTCGAAATATTGTACCGATTCCTTTTGTTATGCCGTATCGTTCATTTCCACCGAATACGACTTTTGGTCCTTCGATATTTTTAAGATTCACAAGACTTGGTTTATTTCCAGTCATGTGTCTAGGATGAATGTAATTGGAACTGTAATTCAATCAATGGAACAGTTACAGAGATAGAGACTAATACTAGAGATATCTGTTACACGTGAAAGTCTCCTAACAAATAGACTTGTACTCTGCTGACTATTCCTATGCCACATATAATAACTTATTACAATAGGAAATAATAATATTCTAATTATATTATTCACACACCCCCTCAAGCACAAGGTTGATGTTCCACAACGTTGAGCTTGTCACGCAGAGCTTGAAAACGTGGTCCTGGAAGCGGTTTGGTGAGAATATCGGCGAGCTGGTCCTTCGTAGAGATAAAGTTAACAACAAAGTCACCTGACGCTACTTTGTCTCTTACAAAATGATAAAGCTATTTTGTGCGAGCATGAAAAACGGGGTTAGCGCAGAGATATGTCGCGCCCAAATTATCACACCATAGAGTTGCCGGCTGGCCAGTGTGCAACCCTAGCTCCTGTAGTAAAGAAACCACCCACGTGACCTCAGCAGAAACATCGGCGAGTGCCTTGTACTCGGCCTCAGTAGAAGACCGTGCTACCGCCCGTTGTTTCCGTGATAACCATGAAATGAGATTGGAGCCCAAAAACACAGCATACCCACTGGTGCTCTTCCTGTCGATCGGACACCCGGCCCAATCTGAATCCGAGAAGGCATGCAAGGCCATAGAGGAAGACGGAGTCAGACGCAATCCATAATCCAAAGTTCCTTTGATGTACCGTAGAACCCGTTTTAGCAGGCCCCAATGATCGTCAGTTGGTGAGTGCATGAACTGACACAACCTGTTCACTGCAAAGGATAGGTCAGGACGGGTAATGGTTAAGTACTGTAAAGCCCCCACTATGCGCCTGTATTGAGTAGGATTCTCATACGGATGTGTGGAAGGAGACACAGCTTGAGTAACAGAGGCAGGAGTAGCAAGCGGTTTGCAGTCAACCATACCAGCACGTATGAGGATATCGCCCATATAACGACGTTGTGTGAGTAGCATACCACCTGGAACCTTGAGAGTTTCAATGCCCAAAAAGAATCCAGGTTCCCCCAAGTCCCGGATTTTGAATGTCGTGGATAACTGTTTTAGTAAAGTGTCAATGAGCACAACATCATTCCCAAGCATGATTATGTCGTCCACATATACTAATAAAAAAACTTTTGACTCTCCAGTGGTGTAATGAAACAGAGATACATCCGTCTTCGAAGAGTTGAACCCTGCAGAGATTAAGAAGTCGTGGAGCCTCTTGAACCAAGCCCGAGGAGCCTGTTTGAGACCATATAAAGAGCGTTGCAAATGGCATACATGTCCCAGGTGTGTTGGGTCCTCATACCCAGGTGGCTGTTTCATGTAAACTGTTTCTGCTAAGTGTCCATTAAGGAACGCATTGTGAACGTCTAGTTGACGTAGCGTCTAATTTTGCGATACTGCAAGAGAGAACAACAGTCTTACTGTAGTGGGCTTGACAACTGGGCTAAAAGTGTCAAAAAAATCTTCTCCGGCAACCTGGTTGAACCCCTTGGCAACCAGTCGTGCCTTATACCGTTCAATGGACCCATCGGCATTACGTTTGGTTCTGAAAACCCACTTGCACCCGATAACATTCATGTGTGGTTCTGCCGGAACAAGTCGCCAAGTGTTGTTGTGTAACAACGCATTAAACTCCGCATCCATGGCGTCACGCCAATGTGGATGCCCAACTGCCTGGGAGTAGCAGCTAGGATCAGTAGTGGTACTTAGCGCATGGAACTCTTCATCTGTACCCTTCGTCATATGACGTAGTCGCATAACAAGTGGGGGACCTTGGACCGGGGCTTTGGCACGTCGCTTCCGACTTGTATTAGCCGGGGCTTGTATGGCAAGAGGAGCAGGTTCTTGCGCCAGTGGTACTGGCTCAGGGTCATCGGCCGGCGTATGAGCCACTAGCGGTGGTGTTGTGTGTGGGACCAGCGGTCCAACACCCCACGGTGCCAAGGGTGTTGTGGGCACGAGCTTGCTTTTCTCAACTGTTTCTGAAAAAGGGAAGATAGCCTCGTTAAACCGTACATGACGGCAGATAAAGATTTTTCCAGTTGTTAAGTCCATGCACCTATATCCCCTATATGACGGTGGGTAACCTAAGAAGACACATGGGGCCGAGCGGTACTCTATCTTGTGGCGATTATACGGCCTGAGATAGGGATAGCAACGGCACCCAAAGACTCGCAAAAAGTTGTACGGGGGTGACACATTATAGAGACGTGAGTATGGGCTTTGGAATTGTAGGACAGAAGAGGGTAAGTAATTTATTAAGGTGGTAGCTGTTTCGAAAGCAAAGTCCCAATATTGAAGGGGAGCCGAGCTTTCAGCGAGTAGAGCTAACCCGGTTTCGACGATGTGTCTATTCCGGCGCTCTACCCTTCCGTTTTGTTCGTGCGTGTAAGCACATGACTGTCTGTGGTTTATACCGAGTGTTTGGAAAGTATTATGTAGTTTACGGTATTCACCCCCTAGATCGGATTGTATGGATTTGATAGAACGGGAAAATTGCCGTTCTACCATGACACGAAACGACTCGAAACATTTGTATACGTCCGCCTTTACCCGTAACTGATAAAACCAGGTAAAGCGGGTAAAATCATCTACAAATAAAAGGAAATAGCGATTGCCACTACTAGAAAGAACATGAGATGGCCCCCATACATCTGTATATAATAATTCTAATACATGCGTACTAGTGGTATTAACTCTATCTAGTGGAAACCGGCATGATTTGCCCAGATGACACGAAGAGCAATCACCCATTGGTGTGGCTTTATTTTCAACCGGACAGTCCTGAAGAACTTTATGCAAGACACGATTATGGGGATGGCCCAGCCTGCGATGCCACATGACTGGAGTGGTTCGTGCACTTAAATATGCAAAACGAGACCGAGACAATGGAAGTGTGTATAGCCCTCCCGACGCTGGTCCCTTAAGCAGAATGTCCCTGGTTATTGAATCCTTCACAAAAAAACAGTCTTTGTGAAATTCAAAAAACACATTATTTTCAATAGCAAATCGTTGTACAGATAGTAATGGAACAGATAAATCGGGGACATGTAACACATTAGATAACTTAAGAGTTTTAGACACGGAAGGGATTGATGCAGAACCAACGCGTGAAATAACCAAACCTGCGCCATTACCAACACGCAGGATATCGTTGCCACTGTATTCATCAGATTGAGAGATCATCGACGCGTCAGGTGTAGCGTGGGCAGATGCACCCGTGTCGGGAAACCAACTGGTCACCGCGCTGGAAGCAGCGTCGTCTCCGGCCACAGTCAGGTTCGCCTGGGCAGGTGGCTGGGTATTGTAGCGCTTAAAACAATACACTGCAGTGTGTCCGATGGCGCGACAAATTTGGCACCTCGGAGGATTTCCACGGCCATTGCGACCGCCACGCCCATTGCCGCCCCGACCTCCACGGCCGCGTCCACCTCGCGAATTACCATCGCTGTTTTGGTTTCGGCCTCGACCAGCGTAGAAACCAGCATGCGAACCTGGAGCAGCACCATTACCCGGCACCGAGAAGTCATCCGCAAGAATAAATTCTTGCGCTTGCAGAAAATCGGACAGCTGTGGTATGGTGATCGGGTTGCCGGACACTGTCAAGGAGGCGGCCATTGCTCTAAATTCCGGGCGAAGACCCCGGAAAACAAACAGGTTCTGCTCGTCTAAGGAGACCGGACGGCCGGCGAGCGCGAGATCTTCCACGAGGAGTTGCGCCCGGCCCAAGTACTCTGCCGGCGAGCTGTTCCCCTGCCGTAATGCTTGGAACTGGCCGAGCAGATTTAAACACCTCGCGCGCGTTGAAGAACCGAGGGCAGCAGTGATGGATTGCCATATGTCCCTCGAAGTATTACGATCCATGGCTAAGTACATCACTTCCTCCGTCATAGATGAGATGAGGAGAGAAAGGATGGACTGGTCTTGCTGAGTCCAAAGCCGGTGCGCTGGATTTTCTCCCGATGCGGTGGTGGTGGCGCCGGAAGCCGAGTCGCCGGCCGGAGTGGTGATAACAGGTGGCGGGCATGGGATGTCACCGTCCACATAGCCGAGTAGGCCTTGTCCCCGGAGGAAGGGAACGAGTTGAGTGCGCCAGAACAGGTAGTTCCGAGCGGTGAGTTTTATGGAGACAAAATGGTGGGCTGTGGCTAAGGTGTTTGGAGTGGTGGTGGATGCCGGATTGCTGGCGCTGACAGTTCTCTCCGATGAGTGAGTCGACATCGGATGATCGGAATTCGACGATAGGGAGAGAGTGAAATTAGGAGGATCTAACCTACGGCTTAGCTGATACCAGATGAATGTAATTGGAACTGTAATTCAATCAATGGAACAGTTACAGAGATAGAGACTAATACTAGAGATATCTGTTACACGTGAAAGTCTCCTAACAAATAGACTTGTACTCTGCTGACTATTCCTATGCCACATATAATAACTTATTACAATAGGAAATAATAATATTCTAATTATATTATTCACATCTAGAACATCCACTATCGAAGTACCAAACTTCCTGCAAATGAATTAAACATTTTTAGGTACCCAACTTGACTTGGGTCCTTGGGTGTTAGTCATTTCTGGTACCCAAATCCACCTTGTACTCACTGATCTAAGTTTAGGTGATTGGTAACCATTAAACACATTATAATCATATTTAATTTTTGAAACATTTTTTGTGCCGGTTTTTGAAAATTGACTCGATTTCTTGGCACGTGGGATATAGATTGTTTGGGCCTGTGATAAGCATTAAATCTGGACTTAGTCAATGGTTTAATATTTCCAAACCAATCTTGTTTAGAGGGATAGAGTCTCCCTGCCCCAATCCTCGGATTTCTTCCCATTTTCCTATGAGGACTTTGTGCACTAGACTCATTGGTGTATTTCCATTTAGGAACAAACTTTTGTCTTTTAGTGTACTGTTTGGACGAAATATTGTTTCTTTGAGGCTTTGGTCCAACAGTGTTAATTTTGACATCAGTTTGGTAACCAATTCCTTGTCTCATTGTGCTTTCTTGACCTTTTATAAATTTTACTACTTGAACTTTATTACTTAAGGTAGTAGTAGAATTGGTCAATTTCTCGGAGGCTTGAGAACACGATGGATCATAACCAAGTCCGGTTTTATCACTTGAGGGTTTTTGCATATTTACCATTTTGTCCATTATTTTGGATGAATGCGTAAATGTTGCTATAAACTCTCTGAGGTTGTGTTCTCTCACTTCCCTTGATTTACACTCTTCTTGAAGACAAATAATTTTATCTTTCAAGTCTTTCACTTCAAGTAGAGCATTTTGCAATTTTTCATTTAATTGATCTTTTTCAAGAATCAGATGATTATTGCGCTCTTTGAGTTGAGAGTGAGTGTCCATTACGGTTTGACATTCTTCCATTAAGTGAAAGAGGGACTCTCTAGAAAATGAAGAATTAACAGAGTCATAAGATTTAGATGTTACCTCATTTTCTTCATGTCCATTAGCCATAAGACACATGTCCTCGTGTGGGGTGTTGTTGGAGATGCTCATGCAAAACATTGCATTGTCATCCTTTGAGGTGTCACTTTCATCACTTGAAGATTCTTCTGACTCACTTATTTCAAGTGGGTCATTGATGAGTGCTTTTCTTCTTTCTCTTAATCTTTTATCTTTGGGCTTGAATTCTTCCTGTTGAGGGTTAGTAACATTTGTGTACTGACTTTTACTCACCTTGGGATATGGACAACTTGCTGCAAAGTGTCCCGGTTTTCTACAGTTGTAACACAAATTTGAATCTTCCTCAATAATTTCTTTCTTCGAATTCTTCGTTGTATTCCACGATTTCCCTTGTGGATTTTTCTTGTAGTTGCTTCTCTTCATGAATTTCCTGAATTTCTTGACAAAGAGAGCAAATTGATCATTAGGCAATAATTCAACATTTTGTACTGACCTTGAGGTTGATGGTTTCTCGGCTATAAGCGCGTTGTTCTTTTCTTCATGATCTCCTCTAATCTTGATTTCATCTCAAATTCATAAGCTTTTAGATCACTAAAGAGCTTATCGGTTGATAGGGTTTTAGATCCCTATGATCTCTCATGGCTGTGACCTTCATGTCCCATGTAGATGGTAGACCACGTAGAATTTTGAGTGAGATTTCTTTTTGATTAATATCTTTTCCAAGATCATTAATCTCTCCTAAGATTTTGGCAAATCTTGTTTCCATGTCGGTAATATTCTCGCCGGTTAGCATTTTGAAATCCTCGAATTTCTTTAATGCTATAGTGAGTTTATTATCCTTTTCTTGTTCGTCTCCTTCACCAATTTGAATGAGCGTTTCCCATACTTCCT